ATGACTCCCATCGAGCAATGATTCATCCAAACAATGTGCTGTGAGCAAGCCAGAGGTTTGCTCGTCCATTAAATATGTGCTCCACCTCATTGTCTGGGAGCAGCCAAATGAAGTGTTTTCTTTCACTTAAGATCCCCATACGATATACTGAAATAAATGTAGATAAAAATATTTTTTAAAGCAATTATAACAAAACATATTTGTATCTGTACACTTAGGTTTCTCTTATTCCACTCTTCTTTCTGCATTAAGGGGGTCTTACTAAAAAAAAAATTCTGTAAGTATGTGCATAAACTGAATTGCCAAACAAGTAGATACTAGAGAAATGTGATTTGTTTAACGTTTCTAATCCTCAAAGGAATATTCAACCAAAAATCAAACATTCTCCGCCTGAAGGCTTCATTTGAAAAGTTGAAAGGCACTTAGGACGATGGCTGTCGTCAGCTTTGATTCTCAACAGCTACCATAGATTCCAACAAAGAAATAATGAAAGAAAAAAGTCATAAAGTCAGCACATCTACTTTCCTGTTGTTGATTCATATGTTCAGTATGTTCAGTATATTCTTGTTAAAGTTTTGCTCTTCTACCAAGGAACACAGGCCACTCATACTGATACTCAACACCTATTCCTTAACCTTTATGTAAAATTTACAAGTTTAATTTATAATTTAATTTAAATATAAACCAATGACTTTATTAATGGTTACTAAATCAGTTACTACAGCTTTATAGATCAAGCTGTTCATCCTCATTAATGACTTAATATGTCAGCAAGAGAGATTTATCACAACCTGGCAATTTAAAAATTGTTATGTTAATTATTAATGGCTTACAACTGATCTATAGAGTATTATTAAGTGACTTATGAACCCTTTGTAAAGGGCGCCTCATGATAGATGATGCTGGGCTAATGGCAATCAAAGAATCAGAACTGGACCCCAAGGGGGTAAAAAGACACGGCGAGGGACAGCAATGCACGCCACTACCAATGTGATTGTCTCATTTTTCTACAAACGAGACAATCACAATTTAAAAAGGAGACTAAACCTATGTGATTTAAAATAATTTTCAAGATGTTATAGCTACATAAATATTGTACATATGGTGGCTTTAAATTATCTTAAAGGCTCAAGGTTCACTGTTGGAACTCAGCTGCAAGGGCCCTTTTCCTCAAATTCACTAATAACCCTTGAAAGTAAAATGTATCCAGTGTGAAATCTTTGGGGAGCTTGATAGAAGAACAAGCGTTCACTCCCGAGATAAACACCCCTATTTTCTGATAACTTCTTTTCAAGCATCATCCTGCTATTAAGGTGGAGTTCCATGTGTTGAGGTTAAAGTGACACAGTGTCCCTCTGGTCAGGGCGTCTTTTAGTGAATTGGCTGGTGTTGATCCTGAACTGACAGTTAATCAGAGGTGGTATCAATTAAGCAGCACTCGGCTCGGGTTGCTGCTCTGCGGCGCTGGACGTTTTGTGCGCTTCTGACCCCCGTGACTCATACACACGCACACTTACACACACATACACACACACACACACAAACTGTCATGGCACCATGGTCCCATCTGTGTTTTGCGCAGGCTACCTGGTCTGGTTTAGTCTAATCTTTTTTAGTGTGTGTACGCTGCGGGCAAAAAAGTCACAGATGTCTCTGCGTAGGCA